CATTTCAGAAACAAAAGTCTTTCTCCCTGGCTCTTGCCTGTTGAAGGAATCAAGCCTGCTCCCAGGTCTGGGCTTCAGGGAAAAGCCAGTGCCAGGGCGATGGGTCAGCCAGTGTTGTCCTCCCAATAGTGGCTGGGACTCTTGCACAGCAAGGGACTGAGCCCCACCATTTGGGCTGTCCCCACAACTGCATGGCTGCTCCATCCCCAGGGCAAGTAGCCTAGAAAGACATGGTTTGGGTCACCCATGCTTCAGCTCACCCTGCATTTAGCCATACAGACACTGCCCAAACCAGCAGGCATACTCTGCATGTTTCTGAAACACAAAGGCTCCTGAAAAACTTGCAGACCCCTGCTTTTACCCACCATTTTCAACCTTTCATCACTCTAATACCTCTGTATTTTAGCAGGCCTGAAGTACTACAGCAGGACAAAGAACACTATATTGAAGAAGAGAAATGGGACTAGTTCTCTTAGATCTTTTGGAAAACCTTAACTCAGGCTTGACCGTAAAACTGGGGTAACTGTAATCTTTTCCCTGTTCATATGCTGTAAATTTAAACTTTGTTTAGGTTACAATTGTTCTATAGCAAACCATCTTCCAGGCCTGATGAAATGCAGTTTTAGCATAAGGCGATCAGAAATGCTGCTGTGCTGAAGCTCAGTGACCACCAGCTGATCAACAGTGTGCCCCATCGTTATTTTTTTTTATTCCTGTGAACAACAGCAACCACATGCTGACGATATGCTGTACAATTATGGTCTCATAAAAGACTCTAATTTAGAGCCCTTCAGGAGGAAAGAAGAAAAACTTGATTCACTGCGTTGCACATACTCAGACAAATATTCATCTTATCATCAGATTACTTTTTGTGGTAGTTTTTCAGGTTCTACAGACTTTGGGGGTTTTTATGTGAAATGTTCAAAGGCACACTTCTTAAAGAAGGAGCAGGTTCCAGAATAAACTGCTGGCAACTGTTTTGTTGGCTGCTATGAAAGTTACACCCCCCCCCCCTTACCCCCCCCCCCCCCAATCTTCTCACTTTATTACCACTGGGAAATGCAGCTGACTTTAATATCTGTAAGTTTATTTTTCCCAGACTTTACTTTGCAGATCACCCTCTGTCTAGACACTGTCAATTACTAATATGTGTACTCAAGGTGAGTTTAAGGGTACTCAATATTTTCTTCTCCATGTGATTAAATTTCCAGGCAGCACTGAACCAACCCACTATATTTGTCATTTAAGGCAGATGTCACATTATCCAAAACAAATTAAAGACCTTTTCATTGATTTTTACTGAAATGAAAGTACAGAAGTTGTGGAAAGCACCCTGAATTTCAAAGGTCTTCTTGAAGGTTGTATAATAGGAACAATCTTTTCATGGGATACCCTCACACCCCCCAAAAAAAATCAGTGAGGTGTGGGAAGAAGGATTCAGCTGGAAGGAGTTGTGAGTTAACATTGCTTACTATAAAGAGAAAAGGAAAAGCTTTTGAGGAGCAATCAGATTGAGGATACCCATCTCTATATTAATCTGTACAGGGAATGATTTGGCTGTGCTGGCAGAACAATTACATTCAGCTTAAATAGAGTTTCCGCTAAGTAGCTTCTAGTGCAGCTCCCCTCCCTGCACACGCAGGTTATCCAGCTCAGGTCAGCAACCCCCAGCAGAAGCACAGCCAGCTCTGTGGGCATTGGGGCAGGCATCAGGTAGCCCAGGACTGAACATTTTCTTTCTGCACATTGTGTCAGACACGGTGGTAAAAAGATTAAGCTCTGTCTGTCTGAACTCCAGCATTGCTGCTCTTGAAGAAGATGCCACAGCCATTGGGACAGATCATCTAGGAAAAAAGACCCTAAACCCCCTGATACATATACTCTTGTATTGTAACCAGTTATTACTTTCATATGTTTTATCAAATTTTCTTTATAATATCAAGAGATTTGTGCCTTTTTCTCTACTTAAGCCACTGAACCCCATACCCCACCAGCCCTAATGTGTCTGCTCTCCCAGTTTCCTTAAAAGCAAAGTTGGGTTTTTGTGTGACCACAGTTCAAGTCTGGAGGCAAGGACACTGGGCTTTAGGGGAAAAAGGACCAATCTTTTGCATTATTTTTTTTTCTTTAAATGTGCAACTGAGAGATGGTTAAAACGTCCCTATAAACATATCTTAACTGCCAACCCAGGTTAATAAACACTGAAGTGTGAAGTACTAGGCCTAAACTCAATTTCTCAGCAGTGTAGGAGGCAGCTTCCTGAACTCCCCTTGCAGTATCTTCCTGAACTCCTGCTGTATCTTCTTAAAAGTAGGAGAAAGGATTGTTCTTTTCTGCTCCCCAAAGATAGCAGGCGATGCAACATCAAAGTCTGGTGGAGATCCGCATAGGAGGTAAACGTACTTTCAGTTCATGGGTTCACCTCTCTCCACTAGCTGAGGTATTCCATTCACATCCATGTTTACCACTTTTGTAGGGTTTCTGGGGAGACATTCAGTCTCCCTTTTTAATTAAAACTGTTCTACAACAAATAGATTTGTTGTACATATTGCAGGACAGAATGACCAAAGACCCCCAAAAGCACGTCTGCCTGGCCCTGGTCAACAACCTTGCCCTAGCAGACTTGAACTCTGAACAGAAACGTTCAGAGCAGGGCAGGGACTGAAACCATGACCACTGCTTTGGGAGCTTATGCTCCCCAAGTGGCAGCGGTTAAGATGCACTTCTCAGTGCACCATCCTTTGTCATATAAGGATGTTCCCGCTTCACATATTGGCTGCTTCAGATCCCATTTGGAAGCCATCCTGCTGGAGTCTGGGAAGCTAACTCAGGGCTGAAGGCTTCAACCTGAGATTCAGGTACTTAAAATCCCTTTGAAGAACCAGCCTTTCTGTTTATTTCCATTCAGTTGTTACCACGAACCTCTAACTGGTGCAGAAACCTACAGAGCTGAATGCTTGGCAGGCTAAACATATTCTTTTTTTTTTTTTTTTTTTTTTTTTTTTTTTTTCCTCCCTGCAATGTTCTCCAATTTTAAATAAACTGTAGGGAAAAATAGTCTAGTAAGTACAAAAGAAAACTTCGAACTGTGGCATGCCACCTAATGGCAGAACAGCAACATTGTGGATTGGTAAACACACACTAGGAAGCTCCACCCCAAAGCTACTCTTTATTACTGTCCGCAACAACCTGCAGGGGTAACGCTGCTTGGGAGAGGGGAGACACCAAAATCAGGTATATTACTTTTGCAAACTAAACCAGGCAGAACTTCTGTTTTAGCAACTTCAGCAATCTCTTACCACTATGGAAGTACAAATAATGAAATAATACTTCGGGTGTATATTTAGCATGGAAACATGTAAGGGTCACAGTACTTGTCATTCATTAGGAAATAGAATGTGTTGAAAAAAAATGTCTACTCATCTTGGCAGTCCACATTAACGAATAATTTAATTTGGCAGGATTTACTAGTCTTACTTTTCTTAGCTCTGCATCATATCCAGCTATTTCTCAGATCATTCTGAGGTTAAACTAATAAATGTGCTACAGACATCTTCAAAAGATGTCAGAATAATGGCAGTGGCCAAGATAAGAAGGTTGTCAATCCTAAAAGATGCAGGAATATTGTCTTCAGAAGCAGTCATGTGTTTTGGTTTTGTTTTTGTTTTTTATTCATACTCTATGTGTTCTACAAAATCCCACTATACTGTAATTTTAACACCTGTTTCTTACTGCCCTGAATGACAGGTGCACGTCAGCGTGGTGCGTGTGGACACCCTTTCAAATGGGCTTCGTGACCAGAGCTGAAAGCAGTTTCAGCTAAGAGAGAACACCACTTTCATACATCCCAAAATGTTCTGTTCAATAACACACTCTAGTTTCACTTCCAAATCCTTTGTTTCAGCCAACATTATATAGGACTTGTGGGTTTAAGATTTATTTTAATGACTCAGGAACTATACTCTGGACAAGACAGAGGTAAGGCAAAGCAGTGTTCCTTTTAAGCAAACAATTATGCAAGTCATTTTACTAAGCTGCTAGTCTTAGCATAAAGGACAAAGTTTGAATCTAGACTGTGTGACTATCAAATGGAAGTCTTTTGATTTTTTTACAGGTACTATTAATACTAAATAACACATGTAACATTAATTTCTGAAATCCAAACTGTTTTGCAAATATATATAAGCTTTTATATTTTTCTCATCTTGGACAGCAGAAAAGACAAAATGGAAAAGCACCTCTAGAGTTCAGCCATTTTAACATTGACAAAAGCTTCCAAATACACTGGCACACATTCCAGGGGAATTTTCTTGGATTAAAAAAATCAAAATGGACTATTGTTTTCTTTCTTTAAACAAAAAACCTTGTGCAAACACCACATGTTTTTGAAATTCTGACCAGCTTGGCTCATGGTTACTGAGTGAATCAGGAGCTGAATTTAGCAGTTGGAAAGTATCTACTGCTGGTCCTCTTTGCTCAGAGCACTGAACCACACTATCTCTACTCCCTCCCCCTGTCCAGAGCCCAGCATTACAAAGGTATAACTGATGGGAATCTTCAATTAGACTGAGCCAAATTGGTGTAACATATGATCATCTGAGCATCTTCTCTCCACAAACCTGTCCACACTGCTGCCTATAATCCAATGCATAAAAGAGATCTACAGATCCAAGAACCATGCATGTTTCTGTCACCTCTTGTAGCCCTCCTGTAGCTCTCCTTCCATTTTTATAAGTGAACTTGTCTCAACTCATATGATAAACTCTTGGGAAAAAGGACTCCATAGGTTTATACCTTATTCTTTTATTTAAGTTACTAATATAATTGAAAAAGGACAATTTCCCAGAAGTAAACAAGTTATACCAACTAATGGCTTTATATGGTAATTAAAAGGACAATAAAACTGAATTATATGAACGTACAGCCTCTAGCAATTAAAGCCTTGGACTATCTAAAATCACTAGATAGAATGAAGATCAACTAGTCACCCATTTCTTTGCTGATATAAGTACTATTTTAATAGCTGCATGTGAACAGACAGTAATAGCATCTGCTGATAAACCATCTGAAAAGTCAAAACTAGCTTAACTTTCTTATACGGCTAAATGCAGAGGAACAAATGCATTATTCACAGCTCAGTCTCACAAATAGAAAACTCACATAATTTTCTTGGTGAAGGAATATTTCATATAATCTTAAAATAATAATTTCCTGAGACTTCACTTGAATCAACATGTCAGTTTATATTGGGACATTAGCTAGCTTTTCCTTTATGCCTAGAGTATATTTCAAACACATGACCAAGGAAAGAAAAAACAAAACCTTAGAAGCAACAGGTAAGTCTTGGTAAGAAAAGAGATACCTGAAAGCTTCGCTCCTTTTCTCAGATGACTTACCACACTACTTACAGATTAAGAGGTTAATTCTACCTGTCAATCTTACCTAGCATGTAGTTTATGCATGTTACCTCTTAACTAATCATTTTTAACTGTATGAAAAAAAAATATTTCTTGGCAAAATAAGAAATTGCAAGGGATTGCATGTTCAAAATCATGATTTATTGATGTATTTTTAATCATGTAGTTCCTTGCAAAGATACACTTTATAAATTATGGAACATGTATAGTTCTTTCCACAGCTTTCACATTTTAGTCCTCAAGTCCAGTTCAGTATCTTGAAACGAGATGTTCAAAGGTAAATTATGCAAAATGGCTTAAAAAAAACCTAAACTAAAAAGCTCCAGTTCTTTCAGAATCCAAGATACATATATAATAAGCAGCATTACAGTATCTGCACTACACCCCCAAGCGATATATGCAGGAGAAGCAGCATACAGTACCTGCACCAAACCTCAAGGTACACTTCATGATTAGCAGTACACAGCACCTGAACATCTACAGCAGCCTCAAAATGTCTTAGTACAACAAATGCTCAAAGGGTTTACAGCATCTGTAGCAAGGTTAGATGAAGGGTTATAATACATTATGACATCCAAGTGAGCCCTGCTTACCTGTGCATTCAGAGCTGGTCAATGCACAAGCAGTACAGACCAACATTCCACCACTGCACTGTGACACTTCCCAAGCAGAGCCACGTACCCTGCAAACTCATCCTGCAGTACAAGAGAACAACTTGCTGCCCATATCCCTCTCCGCTTCATGCCCATCCTGTCAAGAAGGCAGGCTCCACTGAACTTCTATCAAGATCAAATTACATGTATGACCAACTGACATCACTGTGTTGGTGGGGATGTACCTCTGTGGTTAATTTTTATATTTCATGATTGCTTGCCCTTTGACTGTTTTTTCTTAAGGTTGATGTTGACAAAATGCCAGATCTTAAAGGCAAACAAAGTAAGTTTAATTTAAAGAAAACATTTATTTGAAGTTCTTTTAAGTCACACAATTTAACAGATGTAAGACAACTCTTTCCCCTTCACATTTCAAGCCTTCACCAGAGACCACACACACTGTCCAATGGACAGTGAGATTTTCCTGTAACAATTCCTTTTGGACAAGCCAGTGTCCAGGCTGACAAAGACTCATATTTTAAGCTGACTGATTTATAAAATCTGTTTAAAACCAAACAAAACGAACAAAACTTTGTTATCAAATTTTTGTCACCAAGTAAGTGTTTAATACTCATAAGCTTGATCTCAAAACAACACCCCAGCCATTCATAATCAAATAGAACATATTGCCTTCAAAAAATCCCCCAGAATTTTAAAATGTTCCAAATATATACACATTTATAACTTAAGTGCTCACTAGCTACAACCTTTTATTCATGCAAGAGTTGTGAGAGGAGAAGGTGTTTCTTAGAGTGGCTTTTCTGAAAATGCAGTAAAACTCTTCACTCGTGCAAAGAACAAAGGGGTGTACATTTTGTCAATGTCGAAAGTAGTAACAGCTGTCTCACCAGTCGATCTGCAAAGATTATCATAAAAAATTAGACACAAGTTGTTGTTTAAGACCCTCTATAACGCAATCATATTCCACAGTACAGTGTGTGTATCAAACTACAGCTGGAATCTGTCTTTTGTACTGCCTTATTCTAAAAGCATTTGAATGTTGGCCGAATCACACTACATAGAATACACTTCTCATTTTTTATCACTGAAACCACTTTCCCCTTCCATTCTTATTATTAGGTCCAAGCCTTGAAACAGTGTAGGATATCACTCAAGTCACCATATTAATACTGAAGTAAAGAATCCCCTTCCATTTGTTTCACTTGGAACCCTGAATTCAGAATGCTTGTTTACAGAATATTGTATGTTTACAAAACTTTTTAAAAAAGAAACACAAGTATTTCTGAACATCAGTGACAAAAAGCATACATCCTCCTAGCTGTGTTTTATACTGAGAGGTACAGCAGAACCTGAGCAGCACAGAAACTTCATGCTGAAAAGAATGTCTGTGATATTGCCACTTCTTCATAAACTAGGTATGAAAATATTAGGTTTCATAAAAGAAATTTTCTGTTTATGGAAGTTACCTATACTCCTAACCAGCGGTAGTTTACTTCCTAGATTTTATATATTTACAGCTCAATAGCTGTAAAAACACTATAAAAACACGGAATGTAGCAATTAAGATGTTTCGAAGAAAAGGCCTAAATCCACCCTAAATGCCAAGATCAAACATCTGGACAGCCAACCTGTCAGTAATTTAGTGTCAGGTGCAAGAACAGAGGCCATGGCTCTTGCCTGGTCAGTGATTAGAACAGCTGGTCACATGCCCATATTTTGCACTGCTGGATTATACAGTTTGTAAGCATTACAGTTCTCACATGATGGGTGCACACATTTCTAGTTTGCACATCCACAGAGTAAAAGAAATATACTTTAATGAATATGTTTTCCATACCTCTTTACTAGCACCACACTAAGTCATTCAACCCTGATTCACTTCTGAAATCAAACACACACATATTTGAATTGGCTAAAATACTGCAGTCCTACTTAGGAAACTTCCCATACCATTATAAAAAGTTACTAATATCTTGGGATGTCTTAAAGTTCATTACAATATATCAAATCAGGACCAGCTACTGTTTTCAGGGCATTTGTTAAAGCCTCATAAGTCTCACAGTCTTTACATCTTCTGTGCTTAGTACAAATTGATGTGACCAGTGTTTCCATATTTAAGTATCCTTCTTCAATCTTATTCTCTATTTACTTACTTGTAAGTTATGTGACAAGAATGATGTATCCAGACAAGTTTGTTGAACCTCTGGCGCACACTGGAGCACAACTGTAGTCCTACATGAAAACTGTGATCTGTTTCTTGTGCAGGAACACGACGGAAATACCTGTATTTGTGGTAGTCAATTGGTTTCTGTACAAAGAGAAAAGAAGTTTCATGACCGACAAAGAACATACTGTGCAACTATTTATCCTGAGGCCTAACTACCCATGAGGACAGACTGTTTTTCCTTGAAAATACATCAATTTAGATGTTATGAAAGAAGTTTTCACAGAAAGTAAGACAAGCATGGAGGACACCACCCAAACTATACAAACTCACTGTAAAGTAAAGTAATGTAACACTTCAGCTCTTCACAAGTTTCTCTTGACAGACACTTCTTTAATCAGAAAATTTTGTGACATATATATAAGTTGACCAAATGATTTGGAGTTCATAATACTGCTTATTTAGTTTTATGTAATGACATAGAACATAACTGCACACAGTCAAAACTGATCTCAGAAAATGACCTCTTCATCCTTCCCTTCCATTTGTTAACAATATTAAAAAAACCTACCTAATAGCACCACACATGACAATTAAACCTAAGGGGGAGAACCACTGCTCAGTGTGAGTCAGATATTTATCTGTCTTAATAAAAATATTATTACAGATTTGGGAAAAAAAGGTATGATAAATCACCATGCTTATTCACATTTTATTTTTAAACCATATTTTATTTTTACTCCTCTGGTGTAATGCAAATCTTCAGGTGCCTTAAGATATTCAGTCTGATAAAACACTTATTAAAAATCTCCCTCCCTCATTAAACTATTTTTTTCCCCCATTTTATTTTGCTACCTACCTCTTCCTTTTTCTTCATTATTACAGCAAATACTTTGGTTTGATTGTCTGTTTCCTGGGAAAGGCGATAATGGCCAAGCAAGATTGCATCCGTTCTGGAAAGTTAAGATGAAGACAGTGTCAAGGACAGAAAAATATTCTCTGTCTCAAAAGAGTGATGTACTTATAGTACAAGTATCAGCAATGAAGACTGCATATAATAATGAAGGAAACTATTTTTTATTTCCATTTAGTAAAGTACTAAGCTCACTGAGAATATGAAATGATGAAAATATTTTGGATGGTTGCTTTTCATTTTCCCAGACAGGACAGTAAAGACAAGTTAGTCAGTTCCATCTAGCCTTCTGCTAAATATTTTCAGACTTCTGGTGAACAGGTCAAACCTGCACAGATGCTTTTCTATGCTTTTAACAAGTTTGTGCAAACATCAAAAAAGAGATCAAGCAATAGTTCAGTCATATCCCACTAAAATCTTCACTTCCCTTCAAACAGTCAAGGAAGTGTGAGAAGGCAGTCAATAACAAAATAGTATCTTTAAAAGGATTCTAAAACCACCAATGTATTCTTCCATCTACTTCCTTTAAAAGTTTAAAATCATATAACCTGCAAAAGAAATCTAATTACAGTATCAGGACATTAAAATTAAAAATATCTTGGCATAAAGACCAACATTTTTTGTAGTTCTCAGAAAAGAACTATAAACAACTGTAACACAATATAAGTAACATGGTATTTTTACTCTTGTTTTGCTAAGCTAGGATATAGAATCTGAGAAAAAAAAAAAAATTGCCAGGTAAAAACAAGATGAAAACTGTAGTGACAAATATTTTATTTCAATAACCTTGTGTTTTTAGTTCGTAAGCGAGGAACTATAGATGGAGGATCTTCAGGAGTTGTTAGCATCATAACTTGACCATCTGGAAAGAATCTCAAATACCTGCAAAAACATACAATACAAACAACACAATACAACATACAACACGATACAAACCTTTTTTTTTTTTTTTTTTTTTTTTTTTAAAAATCACAGGACGTTTCCCAGAAGGATATAGAACTTAGTAGGTAACAGGATTTGAAAACACATTTCTTCACACATGATATAACAGGAAAAAATAGATCAGAAATCAAAAGAGAGTTTTTAAGATTAAAAGATCAAGTTATGAAGAGTTATGAAAGAGGGCAGAAGTTCAGGAGTTTTGTTACCTCTAATCAAAGCAAGAAACCTACCCTGGAACCAAAACTGACCTCAAGTAAGTTTCTCCATTCCTTGCATCAAGTGAGACAAATGCAACAAAACCTTAATTACAGTATCAGTACAGAATGGACAATGTCATATGGACTTTTTCAGGTTCTGGGATCTGATCAATTTTTACAGTAATCAGATACTGTGCTGATGTTTGTGAGACTACAGAAATAACCATGTGATTCAATGATTTCTGTTAACAGTTTCCAGCCTCAGAAGGGACAGAACTGAACAATAAACACTGGGAACAATAAGATGAATAACAGCAGAAAAACAGGCTGAGGAAACAAATGGCAAAGTATTTACAGCAAGTTGAGAAAGCCCAGCCTCTTGATTATTTACAGTTGATTACAAATAAGTTAAAAGACAATTCTTGTATAATCACTTGTTCTCCCTTTGCTAAAAACCATTATTATATCAGAAATGTAAAGCAGAAATGATTTGGTGAAAGAAATCTGTGGACAAGTATTACTGTTGGTTTTGTATAGGTTTTACCCATGTGAAATGGTATGAATGAGGATGAAATATGTTTCTAAGCCCATCTCTCCTTATCATAATAAATCCTATTTCTTCAGACCTGTTTTCAAAAAATATACATAGCTTTACACACTGTGGCAGTTCCATTGAGTTTTACAGAATTATTAATGTTTGTAATATCAAGGGCTGGATTCAAAGAACTTAAGAGAGAAACATTTCACTCACTCATTGTACTACAGTTCTACCTGTAATATTCCACTTGGTGCCACGCTCTATAGAAACCATCAAGAGATTGTTCTCCTTGACGTATGTATTTTGTCTTGCTGATATATACACCTATAGGAAAGGAAGATATAAGCATACAAACAAAAATTAAGTACATAAAATATTTAAGATGAAAAACCCAATAATCTAAAACTTTTGAGTTTATTTTTGTTACTTAAATACATGAAAGCTTTTATTTTCATCCCTTGCACTCTTCCCATCTCTTAACAGATATTCTAGATTCAAAAGCCAAAAAAAATTCAGATTAGGTCTAACAAAGTCATAAACATCAAACCCACCTCATTGCTTCCGTCATGGTTAAATGCAATTAAAAACCAAAACTATTTCGAGAAGTACACCTTACCATCAAATCGAACGCGAGGCCTTTCCAAAAACATCTCCCTCCAAGAGGCATATGGAACAAGTTTATTGCAGCTCCTGCCCCATATTTTCAAACAGACTTGATGCCAGATTTCAGGATCTCTAGTGAAAATGAGAAAAAAGCAAACTCCATAACTTTCCTGCAAACCTTGTTTAGCTTTTATATATCAAAGTAACACACTCCATTATCTAGTTTGGATGCAACTGAAATAAACTTTCTTGAAGAACAAAAGCTCATAATTTAAAATCGTTGACAAATGTGCTTAATCCTGGAGCATTTGAAATTCACTTCCTCCTCCCAGTGAAATTCAAGAACACAATGCCATTTTCTACCAAGTACAGAACAGCAGCCTGGCACTTCCCCGTGTGGCCATATGAGGATGACAACACAACAGATATTATTTTGGAGACCTTGCAACTCTGACTTTCAAACAAGGTAGAGCAAGTGAGACTTTCAGCAACATTTTTTATTACCATGAAGTCATCTATCTAACATACTATTTATTAGTGTATTCAAAAGCTGAACAGCACTGCCAGAAACATAACATGAAAATTGCCATGGGAATAAAAAGCAGGACATAGTCCTACATGTACAATTTAGGAGCCTAAAAGCAAAAACCACCTCCAAACCCCACCTTTCCAACACATTCATCTGTACATACTGTTCACATATGCTTGAGCATAAAAAAAATCTTTTTCTTCCTTAGAACAGAGAGAAGCTTCACTCTAGATAATATATCTACAGTACCTGGCGCAAATATAAAATCCTCGACAAACAAGAGATAATTGCTCTAATGATCTGAGGTCCAAGTCACTTGAAACCACCCATCGGAAAATGTACATCAGTACTTCCATAGGCAACACTGCAAAGAGAAAAGAAATCCTTGTTAGATTGTAACTCATATACTCGATAACTGAACTCAGTAACTCAATACGCAATCTATAATTTCAGGTTTGACCATTACTGAATTTCTGACTTTTCATTAAAAAATAAAAAAATCTACTTTTTCACACTGTAGCCAGATGCCAGGGAACAAAAGAAATATCTTTGATTTAAAAAGTCACTATACATTAGAAAAAAAATCACATAATAAAATAACAAAAATCAAGAGCTGAAAGTGCATTATGGTAAGACGACAGGATAAAATACAGCTTTAAACTACAAATATCCATAACTGTAAGGTGTCCTATAACCAAAATGCCACATATATATTGCAAATCCACAGTGCCTGTGAAGCATCATTTTCTTCAAACTGTTGTTGTGTGTAACATTACTTCAAGGCATACTGCTTTTGCATGACAAGCTAAATAAGCTCAGGTCAGGCTCAATATTGGCTAGGAGGTCCTAAGAACAACCTATCCACTATGAAATCAACATGATTATCACTCTATATTTTGTGGTACAGGTCCAGTGATTGAAAATGGTATCACACAGCACTGTTGTGCTGAAAGCCAGAATCTCCATCACAGCACCACAAGATCATAGGATACTTTTCCCAGCATTAAAAGTTCAGTGAAAAAGATCTGGGTAATTAAGCCAACATTCTTTCTAATAACTTTCTGCCTCCCTAAGTTTTCTGTTGTTTCAGCTAGATGTAATTTTGTTTACTAATCTTACACCATCAGGAATTACACTTCATTTATTTTCAACTACTGCTGCTTTCTAGAGCCTATGGCTTGAATTGTATCATCACATACACTTAAGACTGGATGATTTTACTCAGTATAACTGTTTTGATCAAATGGAGAAAATAGCTGAGCAGCACAAAGGTACATGTAACAGTAACAAGCTGTAAATACTGTGGTAGAGACTTCAATTCAATAAAACTCTGAATTTTAGTGAAAAAACATGCTTCTTCAAAAAAACTGCACTGCTGCACTCCCACAAATCTGTCGAGACTATTTTTGCTATAAAATTCTATGAAACATAAGCTTCACATTTCAGAATATTAACATGATAAAAAGTACATACACCTCACTGGGCACCAGTTTCTGTATTCATTTCACAAATCTGATTTAATTCTTTGTTTTATTATTGAGAAGTTGTAAATTTTCCACATTGCCTATATTTACAACCATTAAACTCATGTATAAACAAAAGTTGTGCAGATTATTGCTACAAGGTACAAAATAGTGTCTGGCAACTTATAAACTCACCGGTTTGTGAACTCTTAGTGCCTTGGAAAATGGGAGATACAAAGGCTTAAAAATCTCTTACTAATTCTAACAGGTATACATCTTCCATTCACATAGTGACCAGTCAGCCAAAGGCTTTGATTATCTATTTTATCATCCATACTGCTAAGTTTCTAGTAAAGTGGGGATTGCTAAGACACTTTGCTTCAGATACTGGGCACACCCTGTAGGAAAAATATTATAGCATTTCTGGTGAAGAATATTATCTTGGTCCTAAGCTTGTGTAAAAGAAAATAAAAAACCTACTATTCAAAATTGCTCACATGTTAGGGAGGGGAAGTAAATATATTCAGTATGTCAGTTACATAGCAAGGTCTGATCCTGTCCTGTTACTAAGGTTTAACCAGTATTTTAAGATTATGAATGCAAATAAAACATGAAATGGAACACAGGAAAACAATTCAGGCAAATTCAGTGCTTCACATTGTTTCAGTCTTCCTTGGGCTGATGAGGTTTGTGACTATTGTACTACTGTGATGACCAAGAAAAATTATTTCCATCCTACTAACTTCTGAAGTAGACATCATGACTTTAACAGTTTTCATTCTGCTATAAAAGTCATTAAACAAGATACTGTGGCACAGGACTGCCAGTAAGGCAGAAAATAAAACCAGAAAGAGACTATGATTGTTGCTCAAAAGAGACGTCTCCTGAGATCATTTTAAAGTAATGTCTACAACATCTTGACTTTACCGGAAAAAAAAGAAAAGATGCTTTCGCAGGTGTACAATGTCACAGTTGGTAAAATAAACAGATTTAAAAAATCCTGTTTTCTTTATGTTTTGACCTTAACAGCTTGCTACATGCACTTTATTTTCCTTCCTTGAACAAATGTTTCCAAGAGCAACTGATAATTGCAGATGTAAAACATACACCCTTTAGAGGCATCTGACTTTGAGTTCATAGCTTATATACACTCTCCAAAATTTAGATCTCGTAAGGAAGTCTCAGGATAACTGTCCTAGAACTGAACAGCACTGAAAATCACTACCCTTCAAAAGTCTTTCCAGCTATGTTATACAGTGTTGCTGAACCTGAAAACATGTTTGTTGTAAAAATCTGATACAGAATCAGATAAAAAGAGGAAATGTGAATACGCATGTTCTTCACAGAACAACTGTCTTTTACTCACACTTAAGAACTGTAATAAATATTTGCAAATCAAAACAAAAACACCCACATTTTTCCAAACATTAACTAGAAGAAAACTGGAATACACTTACTTCAGCAAGTCTGTTCCTAGAAGCTGCTACTATTAAGTATGACTCTGGTCCTGAAAAAGTCTACTTAGTAGTAATACTACACAGAAAAGCTTGTGCAATAATGGCAAAATCATGTACGAGAAAAAGATATGTTTAGCCAGTTGATGTTCTTTACATCTAACTATAAAAGTAAATAAAAAGACACTGTGTACATTTCTTTAAACGTGGCTTTAGAATGAAGGAGACAAATGTTTTAATATAATGAAACATCTCTAAATTCTGCCTCTGAATCTTATAGTGTATCTTAACTCATACCTGAGATATGGGTCTGGCTGACATCAACCTCAGGTTGACAAAGTTTGACTGAAGAGTCCTGAAGAGTTAACTGCTGCTGGAAATCTGACAGGAGATCAGTCATTTTGTCATCCTCTTTGTTATCCTCAACACTAGAAAAGGAGGAATGCCAACACTGTGACAGCAAAAAAACATACCAACAGATGTCCTTATCTTGGCATCAATCCGCTGTCTCACCCTCATTCAATATATTGTTTCCTCTATGTATTCAAAGCTATTTCATTTCATCATATGATAAAACTACTACTGCAATCTTACCAAGTTCATCTAGATTTTGCTGGAATCCATTTGACAGTAACTACTTTTTAATTTAATTCCAATTACAGTTCCTTTCTGGATTTGACAGTTCACTGTTCACTGTTTTTAGTGAAGTCACTGAAGAATTGCTTGACCCCATGAAAAGACAAATCTCATCTTTTACTTTGTCTAAGATAAGCCCTATGCAGGAAATAAAATTATAATTGATATAAAGTTGTATTTTGTAATCTTTGTCACAATGTAAGATACTGAAAACAGTTATGGATTTTTTTTTTTTGTTTACTCTTGCATTATTTACCAAAGAGTGATCCTCAGTAGGTTTATTCATCAACAGTGAAGGAAAACTGCTTTTTACCAATTCTGTAAATAGGCAGACATAAAAAACTTCAGGAGCCCGAGTTGTATGTCATAGTATGATCCTTTAATAGGTGCACGCTTGCTCGCACAAAGTAACCACGAACTACACATCTTTCCTTGACCTCATCACAAAACACTCTTTTCCCTGATTTGGTATACAAGCTAGCTAATAGATCTTCCAGTCACTTTGTAATATTATTCAATTCTACTTTAGACAAGCTTAAGAATGAGCTGAGAATATAAACAAGCAACTATCAGACCTACCAATGGGTTTTAAAGTATTATAGAGAAGACAATTATGTTTGGACCTGTCATAACTAAGCCTACAGTAACATGTTGCACTGAACATACCTTTGTTTATTTTGATGAATATGATGGTCAGTCTCAGTGCCTACAGGCCACACTGTAAATTCTCGTTTCAAATGTAATTGTGAAATTTGTTTTTTTCTCACCATAACTGTATGAAACACCTACAACAGTAACTCAAAAAGTAAAAATACCATAACTAGAATCTCGTGGAAAAAAACCTCACCTCTACAAATACTGCCTTTAAACAACAATTTAAGAGTACGGACTGTTTTTTCCTCACTGTCATGTAGCGTTGGGGACAGTGCAGCAACATTTACAAAACAAATAAAAATTCACAGAATCATAGAGTCATTTAGGTTGGAAAAGACCTTTAAGATCATCAAGTCCAACCATCTAACAGTACCAAGTCCACCATTAAGTCATGTCCCTAAGTGCTACATATACACATCTTTTAAATACCTTCAGGAATGGTGACAAAACCACTTTCCTGGGCAGCCTCTTTCAGTGCTTGATAACCCTTTAAGTTAACAAAGTTTTCCTAATATCAAGTCTAAACCTCCCCTGGCACAACATGAGGCCACTCCCTCTCGTCCTATCACTCGTTATTTGGGAAAAGAGACTGACATCCACCTCGCTACAACCTCCTTTCAGGTAGCTGTAGAGGGCGATGAGGTCTCCCCTCAGCCTCCCCTTCTCCAGACTAAACACCCCCAGTTCCCTCAGCCGCTCCTCGTACGACCTGCGCTCCAGACCCTGCACCAGCTTCGTTGCCCTTCTCTGGACACGCTCGAGTCATTCAATGTCCTTTTTGTAGTGAGGGGCCCAAAACTGAACACAGGAATCAAGGTGCAGCCTCAGCAATGCTGAGTATGGGGGTAAGATCCCTTCCCTGTCCCTGCTGGCTATGTTATTTCTGGTACAGGCCAGGATGCCATTGGCCTTCTTGACCAGCTGGGCACACTGCTGGCTCATATCCAGCCAGCTGTTGACCAACACCTCCAGCTCATTTTCCTTCAGGCAGCTCTTCAGCCACTCTTCCCCAAGCCTGAAGCATTACATGGGGTTGTTGTGACCCAAGTGCAGGACCCAGCACTGAGCCTTGTTGAATATCGTGAAATTGGCCTTGGGTCATTGATCCAGCTTGTCCAGATTCCTCTGCAGGGCCTTCCAACACTCAAGCAGATCAATACTCCTGCCCAGTTTGGTGTCAGAGGGGATTAATGAAGGGAGTAGAGACAGTAATGCTAAAATAAGAAAATAATCCTAAAAAACCCAAGATTTTTATGTGATTGTAGTTTATCACCCAGTATTTTCTAGTGCACACATGCACAGCAAAGATTTCATGCTAGTCAATGCATTCAGAAACTAAAGTAATGGATGTAAACAAAGCACTTAGCTCACCTTACTCTCTTTTATATTGTCAACTACTACAGTGAAGCTGTACTGCCCTGAGGCAACAAGACTGAGCTAGTAATACCACATGAACGTGGCTGTATTCTCCTCTTTCATTCTCAGTTTTAGAACTCTTGATTTCTTGTAGCTATCACCAGCATTTAAGCAGTGAGTTGGGATGCTCTGTTTCATAAGCATATGCTATCTGAGCTGTAACAGAAACTTTGGCCTTAATGTGAACCCTGTCCTCAAATATAAGTCTTGGGCTCAAGTTAGGCCACCTTAAGCCACTACACATCTGGTGTGTTGAGACTAGGGGTATTCTGGTCCTGGTAACGATTCAAGTCTAGATCACTCAAATTGCAATCTATGAGCTTCTTGGAAATGCTCCCACTTGGCTGTGTTAGTCAGCACAGGAACAGTAGTACATTCCCCTGCTTAATTACGATGCTTATTCCATGGTACGAAACTTTTCCTAATTGAACTTTTTGCCATCGCAATTTTGTAAATGATCCTAAATGTCTAACTCATAAATTTGAAAATCTGACATCAAAAGTAATAAAGTGACTGATGCCTTTTTAAAATAACAACATAACTATTTGTAATCCTTCAACTAGAATTTAACTAGCTTCAAACAAGCCCATTAACTTCTTTGAACTACAGTATAGAAAAATCCTCCTTGGACTAATGCATCTGTAAACTTTCAATGAAGCAGTCTATTCAAATTGAAGTAGACAAATTTTCCAAATGTTAAGAGACGTACAACTGTGTACTAAAGTAGAGCATTCATATGTTTTATAAACAAAATTCCAGATTTCAGTACTCCTATGCACTTCATTAGTAAATTTTCATACTTACCACCTCTTTCCAACTCCATCACCATCTGGGGACCGTGTATAGGTGATCTTAAACTCTATGTCAGGCACAAGCTGCATGGCTAGACGATAAAATTTGATGGCTGAAAATAAAGGTTTAATGTTTAACATGTCTGATGCCTATACTAGCTTATCAAATAATTTTTCCAGAGAGATGGTGAAAGCACTAGAAACATGGAAAATGCCTTTGCCTAGCAAATCTTAGTCTAAACTGATTAGATTTAAATTCAATATAGAAGAGAGGTACATTAAGCACCTATTTTCAAAACTAAAACTCCATGTACTCTTTCAGAATAAACAGCTCTCCCAGATGTGTTTCAGCTTTTACAGATTTACCTTTACTACCACGAATTCCAATTACGGACTACAAGATTTTACAGTAAAACATTACAAAGTCCTAATTACATTTGTTGCCCAGTGTGTACAAATTTTCTCAACAAGTTGTAAAGATTTTAGGTATTATATAAGTAACCATGAGGAACATGAAAAAGAATTTGAAAGATGATGCAGGTACCTTAAATCCCTTGTATAGTAGACAGTCATTCAGACGTACACAACATTATAAAGGTGAGAAAGATCCATAAAGTATTGTTGTAATTTTAAAACTTCAACAACAGACACAGAACAAGCACATTTTACTGTGGCAAAACCCTGGAAACTACAAAAGGCACAGAAGCAAGCCCCCCCCAAAACACAGAGCGTGACGAACCTGGCTGGAGGAAAGCAGCATTTTAAAAACTTAAGTAGCAAGCAGAAGACTATGGGGCATGAAGGAAAACCTGACAGATTAGGTTTCTTCTAGCATGCCTTTAAACTCCAAAGATGCTACAAACACTGAGTAGAGAAATAGGCCCAAGAGAATCACGCTGTGGGAATGAACCGTTATTTAAGCTGCAAAATTTCTGTCTTCTGAGTTAAATTAAGAAGATCACAGAGTTAAGTGGATTCATTGTATGTGCATTCAATCTGTTTTAATACTGGTATTAAGATCATATGCGTATGTTTCTTTGTATTCCACATGGTAATACCAAAATCAGAGAGCAACTCTCCCTCAGTTTGGACCCTTAAACATAAAACCCAATAAAACTTCAGTGAATGTGGCGCTCAGAATTCGACACACTACTAAGTCTGAGAAGCCTGAGTCTGAGGCAAGTAAACATTTGCATTTCCTTGAGTTCATGTCAGGGCCAGTGACTGACAAGGATGAGGATTACCAGCAACCAGCTAAACAGAGATCAGTCTCAACTTTAGCATTTAAACTTGCAGCAAGGCCTGTACTGTACTTAAATATGGACAAGCTGCACATAACTGTGTCACAAACATCAGGTATCAGCACATTTCAGAGGAAGGCTAAAATGCCACTTGGATTCTGATGACCTGGGCCAGGTCAGCAGATAAAAGTGTGGTCTGAAAACAGATGTCCCAACATGTGCTTGGTAATATATCTGTGTCTGGCATGAGACTTTGTCTCTAAGGTCTCATACAGATCTACGTGTAGAAACAGTTTCTTTAAATTTCAAATCAAATTCAACTCAGAAAGAATGGATTCATACTCACACAATTAAAATACCTAAAACACCTTTGTAAATGCAACTGTTAGAAGTTACTACTTCTCTGCTGCTATGTTTAACACATAAGGAGTGCACTCAATCAGGTGAAGCTATAGCTTTCATTTTATATACATAATGCTTAAATATACTACTTTCCTTGTATATTTATTTTTTAATTTACTTGGAATCTGTTGGTATGAAAGAACCTTCACAATGTACTACATGATTTCCTAAATGGTAGATTACATGTCAGATTTAGTTCTGACGGGTTTTTTTACTGCACATTTAATTCTATACCCAACATACAAAATACTTTAGCCTAAAGTAATTTTGCCCTGTAAAAACAGGTAATAAATTAGAAACTAAACCAACTAATTTTATTACCTACTGGGGACTCATATTTCTCTCAGTTCATTTGAGATCTGGAACATCAGCCAGAAATATCTTGCAAGGGAAGGAAATCCCATGGTGGAAACAAAAATGTTTTATTCAACAGGTAGCTGAGTTCAGGAGCTTCTAGAGTACTCTGAGTTTTGCATATCTTGACATATTTTGCATCTGCACTTTAACCAAGGTGGCCAAAACCTCCAGTGTATGAGCAGGATGGCATGTATGTTCTGTGTTCTTTTTTTTTTAATGAAAGAAATGGAAACTGGTATCTCCACTACTGACCTACAGGACTTGGAAGTTAGGACAGTCTTCTTACTCTATATATTCTGAAAACTAAATATGAGGAAGAGAACTCTAAATTTCCATTTTTACCGGTGCTGATAGCAAGAGGGCAAGCAAGCTAAGCATCTTAAATATTTATGGCAAACCTCATAACATAAGACTACCAGATTTAAACATTCACTTCAGGAATTCTTAAAGAGGCTACCTTAGCATGCTGTGCAAATTAAAAAAAACAAAACCCAACCAACCAACAAAACATTCCATAGGTTCAGGAGTTCTGTACAAAGTGGAATGAACAAAAGTGAGCACAGGAAATGTAGTGCATTATGCATTGCCTTGATTAATTACTATGCTTATTTCATGTTACAAAAGCCATATAAAGAAGCATGCTATATGAAGAAGCAATCCAGTGCTTCTTCATATAGTCCAGTGCTAGATTTCAAGATACTGTTGTTTTGTCTGAAAGTTAGAAATTCTCTCCTTGATCTCACTTTACCTTCACCTCATCTGAACTGTGATGATGGTTCCTTTTAGAGTAAGTTTGTTTGCTTATCTGAATAACTGAGCTCTCAAAGTACTATTAGCCTGCAGTTTAAGCTCACTGGCATCATGCAGTCTTTCAGTGTTAATTTTAGACTTCCATATTACCTTCATAAAGGGCCCCATTTTGTTCTTCTTCCACTGCCTTCAGGAAAAGTTCTTTTGCCTGCACAATAAATTACACAGAACACTTCTTAAATTCCTTACAAATACAAGCGCATTGTCACTTGACTTAGAATTATTTTTCATCTTACCTACTGTACTCTTTGAATAAGATTAATAAAATAATCCCCTAAGCAGAGTGAGAAGACATACTTATGCTATGAGCCATAACTGAAATTCCCAGTCAACAAACTATCCATGTTCCTGTTGCTCATCCCTTAACTACAGTCTTTCAGAAAGCAGACTGGGATGGTGACAAAGCCAAGCATAGAATCTAGAAAAAACAGCGCACGATTATGGAAAGACATTAGTATGGAGACAATGGGTTGATCGTGCCTGTTGTTTCTCTAGATGTAATTCAGCATTAGCTTTTAGGATAGTTACACTGCAGTATTAACACACACCAAAAAATCCCCAAATTATACATCTCTTTTCTTGTACCTTTTCCTCTTTTGCTATCTCCTGCTTCCCTCTGGCATCTACAGACTTTACTCCAGGTCCTCTTGAAGATGCTCTGCATGGCAGAGGTTCCAACCCACTAGAACTCATACCTGGGGCAAGCTCAAACATCCACTGAGCTCTGAACATCTGGAGCTCTGCCTAAAAAAATCCAATTAATTGTGATTTAGCATCACATATTCAGACAGTACATCTTCTGAGGACAAATTATAAAGTACAACTACAAAAAAGATTTTCAAAATTCTGCTTTACACTTCCAAGTCTTAAATTGTTTCAGTGAGTTTAGACACAGCAATTGTTTTATAATTTTTTTTTTTTTTTAAAGTACACAAGTATACTTGTTCAATCTCCATCAATAACATAAGTGCTTTTATCTGGATTATTCACCTCAGAAGAAAAACTGATGTTTCAAGAACTGGTTGTTAGTACTATTGGCTATGACCTAAGACTCCAAAGAAAAGTATTCTGTTTAGACATTATGTTTTTGTTTATGCCGAGTTACCTTAAGCAAGAAGTCAATTAGTTCTTGAAATTAAAATTTAGAAAACCTAATTTTTTTATACACAAGCATACTAAGCTTTATAATAATCAAGACTGTCATTTATATAACATACAAATAAGACCTCTCTTTTAAAAAGAATGGACTATGCTCTGTGAAACAAGTTATAATTCTTGCCATGCATTTTTTTCAGGATCATTGAAGTTACAATTTACATGCCTTTGGCAATCATCACAATTTCTGGGGAGCAACTACACAGAAATCTAGTACTGTAAGAGAACATACTTATCTATTAGACTGCTTTTATCAACTTTCTGCTCCATAAGAGAGCGATAACTTAAACTGGAATTTGATCCATACAAAGATTGCTGTCCAATTTCTACAGTTCTTCAAAGAAATTCCACATCTGACACAAACTTTCTTTTCATCTACATAGATAACTGAAGACTGAATTTGACACTTGGAACACAATGCAAAATCAATCTATTTCATCTTTGGAGGGGCGGACAGATTAACCATTTGCAGATCAACAAATGTGTGGTAACTAAATAAAAGTAACGCAGCTTAACTCATAGCAGTACTATGTTTGTAAAAAAAGCCACTAAGCATGAAAGACATACCTGAAGATTTGCTTCACCGGATCTTTCATTGTCATCAGCTCTTACCAAATCAGAGTGACAATCTTCTTCAGCTTCTGCCTAGTAGAGAGCAGTCAGATGTGATTATAGAGTCTGCCTAAGTCCCTACAGTACATTCACAAAGCACAGCTGTCATGGACACACACCCCCACAAATTTAAGCATACTCTTTGCCCAAGCCTACCCATTTACCCCAAAGATCAATCTTAACTGATGATAAAAATGAATCTTAAAATAACTGGTATTCTTTGCACTTCCCCACTAACCCAGTGAAGTAGGCTTTTACATCTCAGTCACATCAATCCAACACAATTAGTTATGTATCACTTGAAAGCTTATATGCATCAGTACACCGCCATAATACCTGAGTAAATACACTCAATGTCTAAGTTAAAGCACAGAACCAAAGCTTCAGTATTAAATGGTAGTGTGCTTCATACAAGAAATTAAAATTTAATCATTATCTTCTCATTGTAAAGGTAACCAGTAGTTTTGATTTGTTTAACATTTACAAAAGCAGAAAATATAGATACTTTATGAAAATTATGGGACAATATGGGCAATTTCAAAAACTACATGTGAAACTAAACAAGAAATGTATTGTAAAAGAAAATAATAAGCTAGAATGAGAGCTTAACAGCTGGTTTAATTTACACTACTGCTGTGATACAGGTTAAACAAACAAGACTTTAAATAAAACCCTTAACTGAACTTAACAGGGCTCTAGATAGGAGCAAAACACAAAACAATGCAAATAAATGCTCATTGTGAAATATACTGAGATTTGTGGAATCTACTAAAACAAAGGAAAAGTAATTCTGAGCATCAGTGACAAATCACTACAATAACAACAATAGCAAGATGCCAGTAAGGAAAAAACCCCCTCAATGAAGACATTTGTTTAAAGTTCTTCCTGCAGCTGAAGTATCCCAGGTTTTATACCATTTTGCACTGAAATGCACATCTATAGTTCTGCAAGTATATAATGCGAAGTGACACCATAGAAAGGTAAACCTGGCATTAAGATTACCACTTCTTACAGAAGTTTTTGTTTCCCACTCCTTCCTACTGTAGATAGTGCTCAAAGACTTCAAGGGACATTCTGTCAGATTCTTCCAATTTCTCACAAAGTAATCTCTATCTCCTGCACAAAGTGCAGAAATCAAAGCATTCTTGTATTCATAAAATTTATAAAATTTTTATAGCATCTAGAAGCTCATGATTGAACTTCAGAATACTGGCAAACCTGATGGGAAGGCAACGTTTAATCTCTTTGTCTTGGTGACAAACACCTCCCTGGAGTTCAGCTGCAGCGCTTTTCTCTGGTTCCCCAACCAACCACAAACTTACTGGCTTGTCATCTGTAAATGTGGTTTAACTGATGCCTCAGTCAATGTATGTTTTACAACTGATAATGCAGACAGTGTTGGTTGGTTAAAGCAGAAAGATATTGTATCTCTTTCTACACTCTGATTTTAAAGCTGTCCATTTTTAATTTCTCAGTAGAGAAAACAAGTAAGTCAGAACGCTCCAAAGCATGAGCAGTGTTAAATCTGAGCAAGGAGTAGATAACTCAGAAATTTCATGAGTTTGATTCCAGAATTTGATTGCAGGCAGTTAATATCCTATGAGTTACAGCAGTCCTAACATGTTATTTTATCCAAGGGTTATGTCTATGCTGGCCAAGCGGAGATAGCCTAGGAATGAGCTAGCACTGAAATGGATGTCTGTAAAGTGCATTATTATGGCACTGGGCTGACACAAATAATGCCTGCCTCTGCCTGTGAAGAGTTCAAGGCTTCTGGTTTGCAGCTGAATTATGTCCAGTCAGCTCTCACTCTGGGCAGAGTAAGCCTGGTTTTATCTGCAAAATGCAGTAACTAGTAATTTCTAAACTAAATCAACACACTATCTTCTTGTGCATAAAGGCATGCCCATTAAAACCTTTAACTCATGAAGTCTGTAAATAATTCAAGAGCAGGAGTTAAATTTAGAAGGTTATGAAGTTGGCTGACATCTACCGCATGTTCAAAAACTTTTTGTTTCAGTAATCTGTTTAAGAGTCTTGATTTTCCTCCCTCATCTCTGTTCAACTGCTCTACTTCTTCATTTCTGAGTCACAGTTGGTCAAGGTTCTGGACGAACTGCTTCCAATATGTTCTTCAATGTTCTTTAGGACTTAAGTATGTTCTCAATCCAAACAAAAAGTACACCATACTATGAAAACCTAGTCCACAACCTAAAAGCTGTCAAAAAACATCACAAAGTTGATTACAAACAAAGTTTTGATTTTCATCACTACCTTCTCTATACTGAGTGTATGTGTGATCTGAAGTCTCTCATATCAAAGGTGTGTCTGCTGACAGCAGTGACAGCACAAGGGACCATCCCTCTAATTTGCCAGTAAAGCAATTTATTCACATTGCTACTGTATGGCTAACTGGACTCAAAAATTAATCTCTATTAACAACTTTTCCACTATTTATTCGATTTGATGAAACCCTACGGTTTTGCTAGAACAAATGAGTAAACATAGGTGTCACTGGAGTAAGGATCTTCACCACCAGACAACTCACAAGACCACACCTAAAGCAGGTTAGTAACTTGTATAAATTGGCTCCTTGCCCCCACTCTGACAATAATTAAATTGTAGTTATAGTTTCTGAAGTTCACAGAACATTGCACTGTAACCACTACTTAGTGGATAAATTTAACCTGTTCACCTTCATGCCTTCCTCCTGCTGCAAGTCAGCTGTCACACGGAACAGCAACTTTATCCTGCTCTGAAGTCAGACATCCTTAGTATGTACTGATAAGCTCAAATCATTTTCCATGAGAAAAGTGGTAGCCAGTCAAACCACCAAAAGGTCAGCATGTCAAAAGTAAACATCTGAATTAGACAGCGACCTGTAAAAAGAAGTCAGCTGATTCTGATTTATTTGAACAGCTTTAGAAATCATTTGCCAAAAGTAAAACTAGTTTATTTGCACGGCTCAGTTTTATTCGTTTTGCAATCACTAATTACATGTTGATTTCCTCAGAGAACAACAATCACTAACTGAATTGCCTGTAATGTCAAGTCCTTCAATAGTTCAGATCAACAACACAAAGCCAAGACCAGAAACAGTTCAGAGTTTGTCACCAGCTGAACTGGCTACAGGTGAACTGTACAGAACTAAGGGAGAATGAAGAACAACACAGCAAACCAGTGACTGATGGCTAACGTTTTTCTTGGTTTTATAAGAAAATGAGGAAGTCACTCTGTATTTCTGTCAATGCAGTAGAAGCAACGCTAACACTGTTCAAAAATAACAGTTTTAAAGACAGTGGCAAGGCGTTTTAAGAGCTCTGGAGTGATATAAACGGTTTAACTTTAAATGACCAAGTTCTCATCATGGATACTTGAATCCATCTTGAGGTGGTCAGAAAGGCAATACTGAACCAAACAGTATTTCTGTTACGTTAAAATACAAAAAAAGTAAGAGTGCCTGGCCCACGGAGCTGTTTACATTACCAAGCAACTTTATGCCATCTGTTTTTTGAGGGAAGAAAGGGAAAGGTAGGACACACTCATCTGGGATGACACAGTGATTTGTTCAGGTGTCGCTACGGATAGCTGGATCGGTGCCGGATCAAGCAGCCCCGCTCAACGGCCCAAAACCCTCTGCGGAAGGGGCCGTGCCTCCTCGCGGCGCAGCCACCCGGGCTGGGATCACGGCCAGGATCGCGGCACGCTTCCCACAAGCATCGCCCGCGGACAGGCGGCCCGGGCAGGGCTGCTCGGCCGCAGCACGGCTCGGGGGGCCGCACCTCCCG